CGCCCAGGCTGGTGTGCAGTGTGGTGGTCTCAGCTCACTGCAACCTCCACCTCCCAGGTTCAATCAATTCTGTCTTAGGCTCCTGAGTAGCTGAGATTACAGGCTCCCACTACCACGCCTGGCTAATTTTTTTGTTTTTGTTTTTTGGTAGAGGCAGGGGTTTCACCATCTTGGCCAGGCCAGTCTTCAACTCCTGATCTCGTGATCTACCAGCCTCGACTTCCCAAAGTGCTGGTATTACAGGTGTGAGCCACCGCACCCGGCCTCTTTTCTCTCTTTTTTTTTTTTTTAAAGTGTTCGTCTTTCTAGTATACTATGCTGCCTGAACCCCTGCTTTCTGGCTTCTGATCCTTCCTTATCCGGGGATGTGGGAGGAAGAGAGAGCGCAGGAGTGCTAGCAGTGTGAGAGGGAGTGCTTGTAACTTTTTTTTTTTTTTTTTTGGTGGAGGGAAAGCAGTCCTTTCCTGCCCATAAACGTGTTTGTCTCTTTTGTCATCTATCCTAGTCCTAAATGGCACTTTGCATCCTGAGAGACCTTGTAGCATAAAATTCTCTGATAGACCTTGTAGCATGTAATTTTATTTTATATGCATCTTAAAAGTAGGATATGTAATGAATGAATGCTACTGAGCTTCCCAGGGCCTCAAGGGTTAGCACTAGGACAGGGCCCTCAGAATGCCTGATGTACGTACCCCTTGTGTGATGGTTCCCGTGGAGTGAGGCCCACAGTGAGCCGGAGGCATCACTGGTCCAGCACCTTCCCCTCTCTACTGCTGAGGCAGATCTGCTGTTTGTTCCTATTTAATATTGGCCCACCCAGACTTGTGCCCCTCCTTTGCCTGTGTTGCCAAAAGCAGTAAAGTGAATATTGACTTCTTTACCAAAATTGGGGCATATTGTAGAAGTTCTTACCTAGGTGTGATTTTTCTGCAGTTTATTTTCTCTCGCTGGCCTGCCTGCTTAGCAGCTTCCCCATGTCTTTCCCACCTGTCCTCAGTTTCCACTCCTGGAAGATCCTTCCTCCCCACCCCATGCCCACCCCAACCCTCCCACCACCTCCCCATCACTTACTGCCCAGGCCATGGCATTTTGTGCATTTTCCCACATCATGTGGGTAACTGTTGGCCTGTGTCCAAATCAGTGTGTGCATGAGAGAGGGAGAGTGTCAATGAGGGAGGAGAGAGTTCATAGCTGTGGTACATGTAAGAGGGAAAAGGAGAGGAGTGGATTCGTGTTAGAAGGGGTGTGTGTGTGTGTGTGTGTGTATGTATGTGAGCGGGCATGTATGCAGTGATTCTCTGACTAAGGCGTGCGAATACGAGAGTAATCCTTTTGCACCTTTAGATACAAGTTTTGGAAAGCTGGGTTGGGCATCTGTAGGAAGAATCAGAGAAAGTTAGAGTCTTAAAGCTTATTTCCATCAGACTCATGAATTGAAAATTATGGTTGCTGAGTCTACAAATGACTTAAGAACCAGGGTCTTCAGGTTCAAAGTGAGGCTTACACATACACTCAGTCTTTATCTGGAGCAGGGAGCCCTAGGATGGTGGTGCTGATCATCTGAGCCACAAAGCTGCTATTGAAACCAGCGCCAGATGCTACTCTGCAAGCTGGGTGGAAGACGTTGGCAGTTTCATTTTGTTCATCCTCATGATTTAGAGCCTTGGTTTTAATTTTACTTTTGTTATTTGGGTTTCTAGTACAGTTTTCCTTGTCTGCTTGAAGGAAAGGATGTTGTCACACTTGGGGAACACCCCTCCCCCAGGATGGTGGCAAGAGCGGTATCACTGTGTGACTGAGGACTTGTGTGTGGGCAGGATGGAGGCCGATGAAGCTTTGGACATACAATGTCTGGACATCTGTGCATCTGCCTCATTAGACTGTTTATGATATTCACTTTACACTGCTGCACTTAGAGTTTTATTGTGGATGTCTGGGAGAAATTCCTGTGCTCTGTTTGTATTGGGGCAGCTTGCAAGAAGAGGGGTGGGGTGAGGGGCAGATCACCTGCTAAAGTTTTCAAGATCTTTCTCCTTTTCTTCTTGGGAATGAATTTCTACCTGTGCTTCCCTCAGCCTCTAGCCAGTGCTGAAATTACATCTAAACACCTATTTCATTTACTGTACCTAAGTGCTTCTATGTTTATGTCAAATGGGTGTATTTAAAAATCACACTAATTTTAATCTCTGTAGATTCCCTGTTTGGTACATGAAATATAAGCATTTTTAAAAAAAACAATAGGGACGATGGATACCCAGTGAGATTAGGGCAAGGTCTGGTGTCTGAGGCACAACTTGGAGCGCTGCCCGGGTCATCTGACTCGTGGCAAATAATAAATAGCTCCAGCAATGGGTGGGAAAGTGACAAAGTAAAATGCAAATGGAAAATTTGGAGGACAATTTTAAGATGCAAGGAGCAATCCTAAGAATGGACAGCTCAAATGCAGGCAAAGACAAAGCCAGTTCTAATATCCGGCAAGAAAGTCTCACAGGAGGAGAAACTCTGTCATGTCACCATCCTTCCCCTGTATTTCCACCAGATGCCAGTGGAATACAATTGTGGTTAATTTGCTTTAATCCCACCCTGGAAGAATCTTTCCCAGGCTGTTGGTGATTCACCTGCTTGTGGTTTTCAGGGAGAAGTCAGTTTGTGGCCATCTGCTATAAAGTCAGTTTCTCTTGGAAATTGAGGAGGGGAATATAAGAATGGTAACTAATACCCACCACCTTCTGAGTGCCTGCTGTGTGCCAAGGACTGGGCCAGGTGTTTCAACCAGCTGCCTCTGATCCTCCCAACAGGCTTCACCATAATCATGAGAAAAACAGGTGCACAGAGCCATTAAGTTGTTCAACGTCAGGGCCAGAACCCAAGTCTACCTGCGCCAGTGCCTGCACCTCTTACCCGTACCACACCACCATCCAGTGGAGAGTGATATGGGATCTGTGAAATGGAAGGTCTTTCTTTGTAAAGTGAATGCATTGGAATTCAGTCATGGATTGAAAGGTAGCTGACTTTAAATAACCAGGATTAGCTTCTTCCTGACTCAGGATTCTTTATCTAGATGCTTTTCTCTTTGCTTTGGATGTGCCCTCAACCTAGGTGGTTTTAAGCCTGTTTCAAACCATGTAAGACCCAAAGTCAACTCACATGGGTTATTTACTTTTCTGGTGTTGGGGTCTGAACCAAATACTCTTTGGAGGAGGTTTCCATCTGTGGGATCTGGTGGCCCCTTCAGGCGGTTACATAAAGGGAATGTGGTGTTGGGACCTAGAATACTCTTGGATTCATGCCTTCATTCCTGAAACGATTTGTTTTGACTTCCTGATTAGACTCAGGGCATATGTATACACGGATGGGAA